CTTCCCTTCTCGAACAAGAAGCGAACGTGTTTCACACGATGCAGATGAAACACTCGGGGCCTCTGTTGTAATCAGCACTTCGTCGTCCTCAAAAACATTTACAGGAACACGGATATCACTTCCAATCAGAACAAGCGTTTTCCGATAATCATGATCATTACCGAGTCATTCTAATTGTGTTAGCAAAGTTCACCACAGCCTCTTCATATTCCACCGACTGTACCATCATTTGGATTCTCATATAAATAACTGCGAACCCCACGGAACAGCCTTCACTGCCTGCCCACCCTGAGGGAAGCTAATTCGGTTCACAGACTCGTCACTGATGCTCCTGCCGCCAGTCATTTAGTGGCACTAATTGATCATTAACTTCGCAAAAAGCACTGAAGTCATTAAATCAGGACAGCAATCTGTTAGTGCACACATGGAGGACGTTTCAGAACAGCGGGAGCAACTAGCAGAGAAATGAGGACTTAACGGAGGCGGTTCACAAAACTTTATTCCTGCCATCGGGTCCAGGAGGATGGCGACATTCCTCCTTTGCACCTTGTACTTAGGGGCAATAAGTCCGCCTTGTTCAGTAGTTCCCACTTTCGCTTTTAAAAGATCACAGCACTTCGGTGTCCACCTCGCGACTTCCCTCATCTGTGATTTTGTAATCTCCTCTCGTAGGATATTAAAGAGCGCGGTTTTGATGCCGTGCAGAATGGCACAATCTTCAAGCCAAAGTTCGTCCAAATCCGTCCAGTGGTTCTCGAGTTGAATCGACTGGACAGAAGGACGGACAAATAGACAGGCCCACAAAGCTTTATCGCTATGCACTTAGTGCGAAGAACGGATAAGAATCAAACCACTTCACGCCGTGTCTCCGGGAAGTAATTAATTGCGAATGACAACGGCCGGCAGCTTAAAAGGAGAAACACGTCTCCTGAGGACGGAGATGGTGCAACATCGTCTGCCAGGCGTTTAGTTGAGTTGGTCAATAACGGAACTGATTCTGAGAAACGCATGACCTCAAAGTCATCTTGTGGTGTGCGAAACATGATACAACACCGCAAAAGGGGACGGAAGGAACGAGCTAGAACGAGAAGGACAGAATGACACTCGCCAATATGAGGGTAGTTTAATGTTTTCTGTGACGTAGAACTGGATCCACCGATTATGGCCGCTGACCTTGTGGGGAGTGCCCAGTATGCGGACCACTCAATGAAGGAAGGAAGGAGTTTCCGTCGGTCAGTACAGTCTGTGTAGAAGCCTGATAAATGGTCATTGATAACGCCTCGTATCGCAACACTCAGACAAACCACCGACGTCTTAGTCAAAGGACGAAATGAAAGCCACGGCTTGGACGGCTGAGATCTTTGTGTATCTTCACGATCAAAATTGCAGTCGCCTTGTAAGATTTCCTTCACCAAATCTTCGTACTCATTTCTTTGGTCCCGAGGACGAACATCCAATCGTTGAAGGGGATTGGAAGTCAAGGCCCCTTCGCTCGAGACCCGGAACCCAGACCGTGCGCCGCGTGGTTACCAATGTTTCGGAGCAAAATATCGCCTTCATCATCAGGGTTGAAACTACATTTTTCACCACGCGAGCATCTGAAACCTCAGATCTCAATAACGAGGCCTCATTCATGTCTGTGACTTTTGTCGATTCCTTTTTGGTTAGGTACAGATTATATTCGCTTGTTTGTTTGTTTTCTAAACAAGGGCGTGTTTGTTCATTGCGCCGTCGAACGAGACTGATTTCATACCTCCTATTCCACGTCGCAAAGAACGCGTGAGGTGGACGTTTTTCGTATTCCGGCACGGAATGCATTTCCGAGACTCTTCTTGTACGAGGAGAAGCTGTCACTTATTCCGCTCCTTACAATTCGCACGTCACTAAGCTTGCCCCTTCGAGAGAGTGCTTCAGGAAAAATCACACCAAAAAGGTATCACCTGACACCAAAGCAGACCTACTGCGTGGGTGGATTTTAATCCGAAATATTGGACTGCGTTTGGAATTTAAAAGTTAATTTAAGTGGACCTGGCCTATGGCTGCCTGACAATGAAATATAAATATGGACGAACACAAATAGTCAACTCGGAGGTCTGATGACAAAGCACAGTCGCAATTAAGGACAGAGCGCGGTGACATAGACAGACAGACAGACAGGCCGTACAGTTACAAATGGCATGTGCTCACGTGACCAGACAGCAAACCCAATGTCCCTGCCACATTGATTCCCCGTAATTAAAACCCTTTCACATTCAGCCCGCTTCTCATTTGTTAACAACTTATTTTGCTTTCTCCACACGCGAAGTCAGCGCTTTCACAGGCAGCTTCGTGTCTGTCTGTCTGTCTGTTTTATTTCCGAAATTACAGCACTGAACGGATTTCGATTAAATGTAGAATGCTGTCACTGTCTGACTTCCGCGGGTGCTGTGACCTTTGCCCCCGCATAAGGAAGTAAAGTAATGATGTCCCATTACACGCCATGTAGGCGCTTGCGGGGAGAGACTACCGCCGAATGTGCTTCGATCTTGGAACGAAGTTCTCAAGTAACTGGGTTTTCTTTTTACATTCTTTGAAAGCGATGGACCAAGTTTTACACGCGTGTGATAAAGGGCAGAACAAATTCAACAGTCGCTAATCGCATCGCATTCAGTAGATTCGCGGCTGCCTTGTGTCTTTCTTCACAATCATTCTCTCTGGAACAGGCGGTGAAGAATGTGCCAGTCGTATTGATTTCTTCCTGCAAGAGCACATCTTTCAACGACGCTCGCGAAGACTTCGCCTCTCTTCTGTATGAGGAATCGCTTCGTGCGAGCTGATACACGTGCCTCCGTCTGTACACAGAGACTACTCACGCCATCTGTGAATTCTCTCCTCACGACCCGTGCCCCTTTAAGAAGGCACACTTCCCCAGTCGACACAATGTCCTCACAGATTCCCCTGTCATCGTCCCACACTGACGCCGAAGCTCGTCTAAATAATATTTAAGAATCCAGTCCGTACCGCGAAGAAAACACAACACTTCACCATTGCAACGATCAACTGCTTAACGCTGTTTAAGGAAATAATCGCTGTTTACAGAGAGAATTTAACGAAACACATTCGTATAAAATGCAGAGTTAATTAATAATGACCGCTGAAGTAGACGGGGAATAAACTTATACGCTCTGCTTTAAGGGGTTAAACAGTCGGAGTAATTCGTTCTCATCAGAACGTCTCGTGGTGAATCCCACACGTGGCCAGTTCAATTTTCTTGCCTTCTGCACAATAATTATTACATATTTTAATATTATTCTCCCATTAACGCCAGGTTATTGAAAGTGGTCTGTTTCCACGTTGTTTCGCAAGCCAAATGCTGCAAAAACCTTTCTCGATATCTTCCTATTTTACGTGTCGCCTACGCTGTTGTGGATTCTGCTCACGTAGAAGACATCGGTCACAGGACGTTCTCCACTTGGTCACTAGTTCGTCCTCGTTACGGATTCTTACATTCAAACACCCATTGCATCTGCACATCGACCGAGGGACGCGCCCATTCATGGCAATGCCTGAATATTTAATTCTCTTACACCGCCATAAAACACAAGAGTCTGATTTGCACTTAAATAGCAGCGATGCTCAGACTTATTCGATGCTTCACAATTCATTCTTATGTTATTTAACAACGCTGGACCGTCTCTACAGGTTACACAGCGCCCAATGCCATGGTTAGCGTGACCACGAATTTCCCTGGATAAGAATTTTCGCCTGGAATTTTGAGAGCCAAGATTCGAACCGCTTGCTTCAACAACCAGTAATTGTGCATCTTTATTATTTCCGTGTTTCCTGTTATACTCAGCGTAAACTGCAATTATTTCCTTAACAGCACTAACCAACTGATCCTCGTAATCGCCAAGTGTTGTGTTTTCTTTGCGGTACGGCCTGAATTCTTAGGTAATGTTCAGGCAAGTTGAGGCTACGAAATTTTAATGCGGAATATTACGGTTCTCATTTCAGTTATTATGCCGACGGCCATGGTTAGAACGTAAGCACACAAAGCGAAGCAGCTGTGTTATTTGGGCGGTTAGATACAGGAGAATAAGCAGGAAAGCGGCGCGTTCAAAAGTTTGGTTATGAAAAGCGTGTAGGAAAGAGCACACTGGCTAAACCTAGAAGTACGCGCAGAGAAGAAGCCAAGCACATGTTCATATCTCGTCACCAGACCTCACATAATCCTCGCAAATAAATCCTTTGAAAATGTGGCTATACTGCTCTGTGTTGGAACATATGTTAGGGAGCGGGTTGATTGGATTAATGTGGACCAGCGCTGGTTCATGTGAACGCGTTGATAGACCTTCGTGTTGCGATTTGTGGACGAGCTCTAAGACTATTAGCTCTTGAGGGGTCGAGTGGTTTAGTTAGTTCCAGTCTGCAAGTGTAATTTAGAACACGGTCCATTTCTTTCCGTTACTAATAAAAAGGGGAATAAAACGGAAGAGAGCAAGCAGATTAGAATTGCTAATGCCCTTTCAACATTTTTCCCCTCGCTCGTTAATTTTGCGCTTATCTGAGGACATGCAATTCTGTTCTCTGCATAAGAGGGATCGGACATGCAGATTTCATCTCCAGACCCCGCGTTAAACATTTAAATGTATGCAAACAGACAATTTGGAAGTTTCTTCGGAAAGTGTTTGAAACGTCGCCGAATTACGAGCTAACATGGCCGAGGCACGACGTCGACGTCGATCCCACTAATGCAAGATTGGGCACACTGTGTCCTGCCACGACTCCGCACGACTGCAACCAGAATGAAACGGATGCCGCGGACGTAATATAAATAACATTTTCTCTTTCTTTTCGCTCTATCAAGTGCTGAGACTCGCGCAGACAGATTTAAACTCATTGCACTCACAGACTAAATTCTGCATCGAAGAAATGTAAACAAAGTCCCACATCCGTGCCGGAATATCTTCAGCACTTGGCGACGAACGCATCTGTTCAGTGCCTGTTGTGTTCTTTTGTAGGGGACTCCCGTGATGCGTGACAGAGCAGGACTATGAAGTCGGCCATCTTGTTTCCCTACGAAGCCCTCAACGCGCGTGGATGCTGCAGGCTCCATGCCCGTCACGCGGCCATCACCAGTGCCATCTATACTTTGGTAAGTGAACGAAAATGCACCTCCCGATACCCGTCCGACACTGACATTCTTTGTCTGCAGCTCCGAAGCTCATATCCCGAGTTTCTTCAGGCACATGCGCAAACTCAGAAATGCGCACGAATTGACACAGTTACGTTTTGAATGGAGTACAATATTAAAATGGCCTCAAAGGTATAACAACTGAGGTTCTGGTATAATTCTTCGGATTCAGGAGGTCGACCGCTGTTGTGAACACGATAATGAACCCCCGTTCTCAGTCGAACGTTCCGATACTCTGGGATGTGACGCCGACGGTTCAGAGGCGCCTGCTGCCTCAATCGTCAGGTCGACGAGTTCCCCGGTATTATTATTCATCAATTACCGCTGCAGAACTCAGAGCAGACTCAAGGTTTTGCTCGAGGGTCCCAAAAACTGAGGCACGTTCCTGTCATCAAGTGTCATTCAGACGAGCTTCGGCCTCAAAACGTCAGTGTTTCGACTTGCATTCGGAATGTGATTTGATTCTTCACAAAGTGCGACGTGTGACGCCTGCGGGCTAGACTTCCCTCCACACACTAATCGACAGACCAAAATGTCAGCTCTGACAGCAAGCAGAGTGAGTGAGTGAACCTCGAAACACAATGGGGTTGATCCAGCCCAATGGTCGTCATGCTTAAACGCGCGCATCATAGCGAACAGCCTCCACTTCGAATCCATTTCACGGTGCGATTGCTTGTATCATCATCGCCGTCCTAATTACATATGCTAATGAAGCCTCTACTAGTCCGGTCCGAGAACATGGCCCTGACACAACGAGATAGAGGCCAGAAGGTACACGCGCGGGCGACATTTATTTGTATTGTAGAAGAATCAGGCTCGGTGGCTAACCGCTCCTGACTGCGACAGTGCACCAGACGCTTTCAAATGCAGACACAAGACTCTGGCGGGCTATGCAACAAATACCAGACTTCCGTCTCTTGGTTGTCCGGCCAGCGGACACTTCGAAAGACGTATATCAGACGTCCGGACAGAAACAATTATCAAGCCAGCTGTGGGCTTGGTTTTATCCTGAATGTTGCGACGCAATGCGCTGTACACATTCAGACGAAACAGGAACAAATGACAGCGCAGTTGCGTCTCCCAGAAGCCAGCTGTATAGGAGCTTAGCTAACCTAAACCTTAAGCGAAGATGAGTACACTCCAACCTGTTAGGGAAGACCAGATGAAACACTGGAAACTAAAAGCCTTTGCTCTGAGACCAGCCAAGTGCCGAGTAAGGGGTGAAGCCCCTGACGTAGGATCGAGGGTAAGATGATGGGCTGCTTTGTCAGGGTGTGTCGACGTACGTTCTGAGTCTGCGTTTGACGAAAAGCCACGTCTCAAATGCAGGAAGGCGAAGGAACATCCTCATTTTTCGGAAGAGGCTGTCAGTGAGAGGGCGGGGCGGATTGGACGCCTTTGCGAGGATTAGGGCCCAGCACACCTGAGGCGAATCCTTTGCGGGAAAAGGCAAAGAGGACGGCTGAAGGCATGCGAAATTCGTGTCTGCCTCCTGGGAACCGGAAGACGAATAATTGCGTGTGTTAATGACGTCATGACGACACGTGGCGTGCCGTGATACTCGTGGCTTCAGACATCGGCAATTTTATGCGAGTTACTTGAACACGTGATCAATACTGAATGCCTGAATGGCGCCATCTGTGGTGAAGAGGGGGCGTCATGACGGATGTGCAAATATTTGCTCCAATCAAATTTTTCCATATCACCTCCTTGTATTAATTCCTATTTACTGCACGTACAAATCCCTCGCTTCGAAGCCAATAGCACGACAGACATCTCGTAACACGCAAACAAGTGTCGCTGTTCCTCATTGCATTTCGCTAAGAATTCATAACGCCGACTTTTCTTGCACGTACAAGCGCCAAAGGTCACGCTTTATGAAGCCCGCTGGAGCGTCCGTCCCACCTGCTTCAGTAATCAATACCATAATTTTGTACTTGTGTGCTTCGACCGTGGTTTTCCTCGGTCCTAGAGCAAGTGCTGAGTTGTTATCCAAATTCCACGTTGCTCAAGCAGCCACCCCAGTGATAATATCAAACACCGTTAGCATAAGGACGAGCGAGCAGTGCCTGGGACCTTCCCCCCCCCCCCACACACACATTTTCTCTCTTCCTGTCTTCATTCGACTTCAAGGGGCGAACGCCTCGCCCAGCCCTCGCATTGGTTGGGCGACGCGCGAAATCGAAATTCGTCCTACAACTTCAGTATTAAATTTCGTCGTAATCCTTTGGTATATTCCAAGGCAAACTAAACATTACATCCCTATCAGGCGTTCATTACACGCATTCCGTGCAAATGACGCATAGAAACGAACCTCCTGGTACCAGAGACTTCATTAAACAAGCGGTTCTTACCGCTCCCGATGTGTGGCAGACAGGTTTTGGGACACCCGGCACATCACCGCACGTCAGAAAACAATTACAGCGGAAAGTTAAAGTGGGCTTACAGTTTCTAGGATAAAAGCAATAAGCTGGAATCCATTACGGGCTTAAAGTGCAGGACGGCTTCGTACACACATGGGCCCAGCTTTATAAAGCGAGGCAACACTGAACGCTTACGACCCCAACTTCTCCATGAGCAGATCTGATCAATGTCTTGTCAGATTCAGCGGAAAACCCGCCTTTTTGAATGCCATTCCAGCTCCTTCTAGCCCCTGGGAGCGACGGAACACGATTAACCGCGCAGACGACTGCAGAATGTTCTAGTCCGCCCGTCCCTTGTTCACTCTGTCGTAACTCTTGTTTTCAGTCAGCTGTTCCTTTGTTAATTCTCTTAATCACAAAACTTTTGTTTACTTGTTTTAATAACCAACTTCTCTCACCGTCCGAAGCCGAAGCTCGTCTAAATACGTTTTGAAAATTCAGTCCGTACCGAAAAGAAAACTCCACACTTCACCATTACAAAGATTAACTGCTTAACGCTGTTCAAGTTAGCCTGTTTAACGTAACCAGGCCTGCTGGTGGTTAGTTCTTGGAACATTTTTCTTAGTTTGGTAATACTGAATGTAACGACGTTTAGCGTCACCCAGCGGTCGCAGCAGCCGTGTTATTGCTATTACACGAACGAAGAAAAAATCCATTTTCGAATTGGAATAGAGAAGCCTCGCAATTAGTAACTTGCTCCTGGCTGTGGACCATTCCGTAAGTAAATATGGATCCAATTAGCGCTGGGAAAATATCGGATGATAATGTTCCTGCACAGAAAATGAACATCCAGTGTTCTGTCTGCGAAATGGATTGGAAACAATCAGGTGACAAGAATGAATTAAACAGTGAGGCAAAATGTCAAGAACAGTCCGACGCGTTGAGCGTCTGAGGCCTTGTCCTAATTCCTAAAAGCCACCATCTGGAAGCTTTCACAATGGACACACACAAAGTCGAAGAGAAATGCTTTCACTTCCATCGTTCGTAGAGACGCGTGGAAATGAGCAGAGCCACAAAACGAATGCCCCTTCGGTATTTCCTAACGTGAATAATGAACCGACATTCGAGTACTCAAAAAATGCAGTGCCGTTGCGTTTCAACGCTGAATGCAAAATATGTTCCTCGACTATGGCGTTGAAGGATGCTTTGTGCATTGTAAATATCCTTCAATTGTTGAAGCTCAACATGACGTGGGAATCATATTTAACGCTGTAAGTGTTACACCGAATTTTCTGAGAGCAGAAACCAGTTTTCACGGATTTTTATCTCTTCAAAACATGCGACTAATTTTCCGGGGTTATCTCTACAATATGTACATTTCTGTATTTACCACTACAACGCGGAATTTGTGATAAAGTCCCTACTGCGTAATTGTTGGACACCCCTGTTATAAATTTTCAGAATGAAATGTTAACGGGTTTAACATTCTTTCTCAAGACGCCGCCGTTTTCCATTTTTTTTTTTTGGATCCTTTGTGGTCAATTCCCGAAACGACGATAACTTTCGTGGGGCTGCAGTAATGCATTCCGACACGCAACTGGATTATTTTTCCGGGCGTGTCTGGAAGAGAAACATTCTTTTCTTTTACTGCCATTTTTCGAAGGCCCGCAGTTTGAGAGCTTGTTTTCTCGCGCGTGTCAGAGGCCACCACAAATTCGCGAGACTGTAGCAATCGCTCAATTATCCGCTGCCGTACCTCGCAACGCAATAGACAAGATTCAGGGGAGCATCACCCCTCTTCGTTCTTAAGAGCATCGACGCCCGACGCCATGAATTAAACCGGCGTCGGAGGGAGACGCAAGCTCTAAGCGGATTAGTGAACTGAGCGCCTGAGACGACTCCGCTCTGCCTCCGACGGGGCCATGATCTCCTGCCCCCGAATTGCATGTGACATTACCACAATTGTGGAAGAGGCGGTAAGCATTTTCAATTTAATGCGTGTCGGTACGTCAGAGTGGCATCTTAATATGAAGGAGGAAGAAGAAGAAGAAGAAGAAGAAGAAGGCGCTGTTTCTGTGAAACCAAAATCGTCCGTCTGCTGTTTGCACTTTTTGCCGCTCTCAGTTGGTCAACAGGTGGCACTTTTAACGCTGGAAATGTTCCGTGTTCTTTTTAGAATTCGATTCCACGCCTGGGTCATTTCTCACGGCGAGAGAAAGACTTTCATTGTAACTCGGCAGTTGCCACAGATATTCGTTGTTTTTTTTTCCAGAAAGAAAAGCGAAACTTACCAAGTTCACCGCGCGACAGTTTTTCAGCGCCTGTCCTCCGAAACTGCATTTTTCACGTGCCTCGGAATGATAAATTCTGTTAATTTGCATCCTTAAAAATGTCTGCTACGTACGCTCGCCTCTGGGGCCACACAGAGAGATGAGGGATGTAAGGGGTGGGGGTTTCAAAACTGGATAACAAGATTTTTGAGCGCAGAGCGAATACACGGTAACCCTCCCCTCCCACTGCGTGACTGGTAGTCATTTAGTCACAAAGCGTACTTAAAACTCTTTTACTCAATTATACGGATGTCACTGGATAATTTAC